ACCGTATTATTGTAGAAAAATAAAACAGAAGAGAGAAAAACCTTTCCTTTTTGTGTAGGTATTTAATCACTAGGTGTTCTCATTAAATTATATATATATAGGGACCAGCAGTTGGTGTAATGGCTATGTCATTGGACTGCCATGAAGTCGACCACGGTTTGAGTCCACAACCTGGTGGCTTAAATTCACCTTGGGCGCATGTGCGTGAGTGCCCAAGATCCCAAGAGGAGAGAAGGAGAAGGGGTTGTGGCATGGCCATCCCCCCCTGGGGGTGATTTCTTGCTTTCTGTCTCTCTGTTTCTGTCTGTCTTTCTGGCGAGTGCATGCGCCCTATGGCAAAAAAAACCTCTCCAAAAAAATAGATACATAAATTTGCTTGCTCATTGAGAACAATTAAGAAGGGAGAAAGGAGAAAATAAAATCATTTTAAATGTTCAAAAATATATAACATGAGGGACCAGCAGTTAGCGTAATGGACTGGACTCCCACGTAGTTGCTGGACTCCCACGTAGTCGACCACAGTTCGCGTCCCTGACTTGGTGGCTTAAAACTCACGCCGGGCATGTGTGCATGCGTGCCCAAGATCCCGAGAGGAGAATGGAGGAGAAGGGATTGTGGCGTGGCCTTCCCCCCTGGGGGGTAATTTCTCGCTTTCTGTCTCTATGTCTGTCTCTGTCTGTCGAGCGCACGCGCCCTATAGCAAAAGCAAAAAAAAAAAAAAAAAAAAGAAAGAAAGAAAGAAAGAAAGAAAGAAAGAAAAGAAAAAGAAAAAGAAATTGGGTGGAGTTACCGGTTTAAGGATATAATTGCAAGTGATTAACAGCAAAGGGTAAGATAGATGCAGGTAATTCATTGCCCCTGAAACTCCGATTTCAGTTGGGCTTTGGCTGCTGATGGAAGCAGGGGAGCCTTGGAGTTTGGGTTTGACCTTTTTGGGAGTAAGACCAACTTGCAGGGCCTACAGCTGAAAGTAACGTGATTGAGCAGTATGACACAGGAACAAGAGGGGAACGAAGCTGCAGGGCAAACTCGAGAGTTGTATTAGACTCAGACTAGACTTGAGCGGATTGTAATGGATTCAAGGAGGGAAGACTGAGAAACCTGAAGGAGGTCAAACAGCACGACTGGATGAATACTTCCATGTGAGAAGAGAGAGAATGAGTTTGAGGATGACTCCCAGGTACCATTCGTGGAAATAGGTGGAGAGCACTTGGGAGGTGCAGAGAAGAGTGTAGGGACCACACTGAATTCCATCTGGGGCATGTTAAAATTGCGTTTTCAGTGGGGCATCCAGGCAGAATAGTCCAATAAAGAAGAAATGGGATCTTTGGTTCTACAGGTTCAAATGGTCCATTTCTGACGCTGTTATCTGTCTACAGATGGCAGTGGAAATTGTCAAATGAGATCACCTAGCCGATGTCATGTATGCTGAGAATGAATGCTACTTAAGGATGGAACTCAGAGAAACACTAGCATCTTTGGGCAAGAAGAGGGAGATTTCCTCCAAGGGATCTTGAAAACAAAACAAAACAAAAGATATTGTGAAAGGAAAGAAATGTTATGTTCTGCTTAAGAATCTTACTGAGTTGGGATCACCAGATGGTGTAATGGTTACATCACTGGACTCCCATGCAGTGTACTGTGGTTCGAGTCCCAGACCTGGCCACTTAAAACTCACTCCTGGCACTTGTGCGTGCATGCCCAAAATCCCAGGAGGAGAATGGAAGAGAAGGGATTGTGGAGTGGCTATCCCCTGGGAGGTGATTTTTCACTTTCTGTTTCTCTGTCCTTCTCTGTCTCTGGAGAGTGCAAGTACCCAAAAGCAAAAAAAGTCTCCCTTAAAGAAAAAAAATGACTGAGTATTTTCTTTCCTTATTTTTAAAGTATTTTAAAATTGTTTTATTTAACTTTATTTATTTTAATTTGACCAGAGAGGAACAGAGAGAGAGAGAAAGTGAGAAAGCAAACTGCCAGGTCCAGGACTCGAACCATAGTTGGCCATGTGGGAGTCCAGCACCCCTAACCACCACGCCACTTGCTGACCCAAGTATTTTAAAAAGTTATAAAAGAAAATGAAATCATGTGCCATTTATCTTCTAACCATGAAATATTAAAAATGTAGCTGAGTTAAATCCATCCAATGATAACAAAGTGCCAAGTAACCATTCATTTAACAATCATATTCAGCTTCATGGCAGCAGAGTCTACGAGGAGGAATCCTGCTGGCATCTCTCGGTGTGAGTTACCACACCAGGACGGCTTATCCATGTGCAAACTCCTAAAGGAACAAGTAAAGCAATAGAATGTGC